ACGGATCCGACCATTACTTTGAGGCCACGAATGGCATCCATAAGACAAATGCAATTCAACTCTACTTTCAAATCGGAGTCTCGGATACCATAATAAACGCAACGATAGGACTATTGCAGCAAATACTGAAAGAACCCTTTTTTGACAATTTAAGGACTAAACTACAGTTGGGTTACGCCGTGTGGGCCTACTATCAAGAAAACGACGGTGTTTATGGTGTGTATTATCTCTGAGGAGTCATTCATTGAGTGTATAAGCAAAATATTTGCAAATAATTGACCATAACTCAAATATTTACTCTAAAAATAATAGGAATTTAGGATTAGATTTAAGAATTTTATTAACTCCCAATTTGTACTTGCTAATTAAATGAATGATTCCGTTGTTAATTATGTGTTAAATTTATAGAACTATTAATGATATCCACTTTTTTAGGCATGACTTTCACCATTGAATCCGATTATAAGCCCAATGAATTGAATGAGAGAATCGAGGCTTTCATACAATGGTCTCAGAAATACATTCACGATATGAATGACACGGACTTTGAGACACAGAGACAGTCATTGATTGCACGAAGACTTGAGAAACCGAAACAACTCTTAGAATATTCTTATAGACTTTGGTCTGAGATATCGTCCAAAATGTATGACTTCAATAGGGATGAGATTGAAGTGAAAGCCATCAAAGAGTTGACAAAACAGGATATCATTGCCTTCTTTGAGGTCATTATTAATACTTTTAATTATATTTTAATTATGAATTAAATTATTAATGAATTGATGTGTAAAACAGAGACATCTCTCCCACTCTTCAGCCACTCGTAAGAAACTGACGGTCAGTATAATCAGTGAAAACCCAATCAATGAAAAGCATTTGAATGAAGTAAATGCGGATCTAATGCCAGCCCCAAAACTACCGGTGAGTTTGTGGTCACTGACTAACCATTACTTAAATCTAATATAATTTTGTCATTCAATTCAGGAATCAATAAGAATTGAAAACATAACACAATTTAAGACACATTTGGGTCTCTATTCTGTACCCAAACCAGTAGTCGATGTCTACGCTAATGATACACACAATCGCAACAATAATTAACAATAAACTAGTTTTTATAACATATCCCATACCTGTCTTACAAATTATATTCAATACTACAGTAATGTTCACTAAATAATTCAATAATACTAGTATTCATTAATTAAAGCAGTTTCATGCCCTGATACTTTATTGCATGAAATACTGTATCACTAAATTGATTATCGCGTGAATCAATACTTTTCAATAGAAATCAATATAAAATTCATTTATATTGTCGTGAATTTATACTGAATATAAAAATGAGTTAATAAACAAAATCAAAAAATAAATTGAAATCATTTAACAGTAATACCATCACTTGATTTCTGCGAATCCATAACTCATTAGACAATAGTAGAGATATACCGATGGCTACCAAAGTTATCGATGACTTGTTCTCCAAACTGAACTTTGGGTCAGTACTCAGCGCTCAGACGGTATGCAAACGATGGCTCGATGTGTCCAAAGAGGGCTTCCGTAAAGTAACCTCTATTTGGATCAAAGATAGTGACAATTATCAGATAGTCTGTGAGCCCTACGGGTTCAATGATCTTCGCAACACATGTGTGATCCGTTTGAGTCAATACATTTCCAATAGACATTCCGGTCGATACTGACCAAAATCGTGGCCATGTTTCCCAATTTAAAGCGCCTATACGTCCGTCTCTTTGAACTTTACATCTCAAAAGATATCGTCCTATCGATCGCCCAGAGCTGTGTCCGCGACCTCCAGAGTCTGTCCATCATATGTGGCGCTAATAATGTATACATTAGCGAAGCCGAGGCACTACTACTGGTCATTCGTTACCCAAACATCCGAGTCTTGCAGTTGCAGTCAAATAACTTATTCATAGAGCAGTCGACCATCGATAAACTCCTCCAGAATCTGCCAAAACTGGAAGTGTTTGCACTGAACGACACATTTTGCCACAATATGGCAAACAGTCCCGAATACGACGGCACAGTGTATCGACATCTGAGCACCGGTATTAAAGTCCTAATAACCACTGGCAATATATTAACACCCGATGTCTTACAAGACATGGCTCGCAGACCGTATCATCGATTACGGGAACTAATGGTACCTCAGTTCGACATCAAGTGTATGGCACTAATCGTCCAACACTTCCAGTCCATTGAGTCGCTTATCATTCATTTGGATCCCGACAGGTGCTCGGACTTCACGGCCCAGGAGTTCAACCAATTCATACGGGAGGTGTCGGTCATGAGAAATATGACTCACTTTACTCTGAATTTTATCGGGATTTTCGATTGGGATTTGGATTACAACGGGGATGCCGTTTGGGATCCATTGCCGCCCGACTTCACAGCCAATGAGATACAACTCCTGGGGTTGTGTCCGAAGTTAAAGAAACTGGAAGTAACGGCCCGTATAAGCGCCGACTCCATGTTCGCCATCCAGTGTTTCACAAAACCAAAGGAAATTTATATTCATTTCCGACTAACGGCTCAATTGAGTGTTGAATCTATTGTTCATTTGATGTCAATCGCCAGTCAAAGACCCCACCAATCATTTAAGTGCTTTTGTCGCAAGGCTCTGGAGTATGAGGTCTATGTTACCCATGAGGTCTGGATCCATGAGATCCTCCCCAAGAATATGAGAATAAATTTCTAGTGATTATTATATTTGACTAATTATTTTGAGTGCCAATAAAAATCTTACAAATGAACACAAATATTGTCATTAAATTACATAAAATTCATTATAGTTTATGAAAATGATACAAAACAAACTGGGTTATTATCTGATGTAAAGGATTTATTATAATTATGTTTTTTATTGAAACCATTTGATAATTTATAAATGAATACGTAAATATACATCTGAAAAGTTATTTGTATGATATGTTTGATATTATAATCAATTGGAAAATATTTGTGTATTTATTCCTAATAAGTTATTAGTATTTATTTATCGCCATTTAATTGTAAGTAATATATAATGTTATTTTAGTCAAATTATAGTACAATTCCTATAAAACATATTCAATATTTAAAAATTTCTATTATTTATAAAATAAAACTTGAATTTATACAAATTAATTAGTGATCACGTAGTCCATAAAATAGCCTAGTAGTTTTCATTTATCACGTATCCTATTGACTATTATCTGAAAAACACATTACTTTTCATTTCAAAACGCATGCCTATTATTAATAAGACTTTGATTTTGTTATAAATCTCTAAAATAGACATCAATTTAATTATAACGTTAAAAATGAGCTCAGATTTAGTAGACTTCGTGAACCTCGACCTTTACAACGAGACGGGAACTCCTATTTGCGTGGAGTTTACGGTTAACCCCTGGTTTAAGATTGATCAGTACGACGACGAGGTAGTCCTGTAACTATATGACGTACGGAACGGTAGCCCAACGGCTGCCCACAAACTGGTCCACCAATGGGGTCGACGTATCGGTGAGAATACATGGCTTCTGGTGTTCTGTCCGGAGGACTGGCCTCAGGATATCGACGATGACGTGCTCTACCGATGGGTGTATAGGAGGCATGTGGTCGACCATCAGAAGTATGAATTTTACGGTCGTTCCCATCCCATCACCTTTTTCTAGGTGTTGATCCACCTGTTACTACGACTGTCCACTTATAAACTGATTGTATATTAATATGTGGGCTATATATCTGTTAATTATATTTATTTTTGTTTGATTATATATTTGTAGATAAATATTTAAAATAAAATATTTATTACATGAGTATAACCTGGTCATTTTATTGGCCATATTTTGTGGTCAATTTTTGTAATAAAATTTTTGTAATTAATTTGTTTTATAGAAATCCTAATTATATTATTATTTTACGAGTTTTAAGTTTGTATTGAAATTAAGTTTCAATTTGATAATAAGGTAACAATAGTTCAATAGTTTATACGGATATCTATGAAAATTACGGTAGTGTTTGACTAAACATATGGTATATCTAAAGTTAATCAATACTTTCAAACACTTTTTAATTATCAATATACTGATCAAAAGTTTATCATAAATAACTTTAACTAATTTTGTGATCAGTCTAGGAATTTTGGTTTTTATGCTAAATTAATATTAGTTTTAATTGTAATAACAAAAGTAAAAGTTATGTTAATTACTGTTTTATGATTTGTTGAAACCCTTTCCCCTCAAGTCCTTGAACTCCAAAACTTTTCCAAACATTTTTTACGTCAAAAACAACTTTTTAGGCAATTATTAAGTTTTAGTTTTTACATAAAAAGCAATTCATTTAAATAACAAAAACTTTTACTACAAAAAAATATAAACTTTTAATTTAGTATAATATTACTTTCAAAATGAATGCAGTTTTCAATACATGTTTAGTGTCTATGATATGTGCCATCAGTTTGGCTCAGGATTTTGATGTCGATACCCATGACCACGGGTCTGGAGTTGATGATCATCAAGGTAAATTGATTATTTACTGAAGTCTGTGTACTTTAATTACAATTTTACAAACAGTTGATAAAATAATCGGGGACATAACAAGCTATGTTGGGGACCTATCTCACGGATTGGGAGATATTGGACACGGAGGTGGAGGTCATGGCGACGAAGATGATGAGGATATTGATGACAATCATGAAAATTATGGTCACAAAAGTCACTCCAGAGGACATGGAAGTGGTGACAGACATGTAGGCAGGACTCGTAAACATGGAGAACATGGAGGTCACGGAAAACTTGGAGCACTTTTAGGACAAGGAGGTCTTGGAGGACTTGGAGGTCTTGGAGGGCTTGGAGGTCTTGGAGGGCTTGAGGTCTTGGAGGGCTTGGAGGGCTTGGAGGGCTTGGAGGGCTTGGAGGGCTTATAGGACA